AACAATCTAGCATATTTCAATATGAGGCGTAAGTCAGAATCGGAATCAGAATATCAGCGGCAAAAGAAAGAATTACACATGTTCAACTTAAGTGTTTAAGATTAGACTTATGTACTGTTAGGCCTAGTGTCTGTTTTTCCAAGGTCCGTTGTAAGTGGGGCAAGCCTTCCTTCATCAAAGTTTGATCAAACAAAGTCTGTTGTGTCTGACATAAATCTCACAGATAATGATTGGCTTCTCAGACTTAATGTAACTTTCTTATCAATATTAAAACACATCATAATAACTTAATTTAGATGTAATTTGATGAAAGTTTTCCAATATTTTATTTGTTAATAATATACAACACTAATGAACTTGCAAAATCTCTATAAATCATTATCAATGACTATCATAATAATCATCATTAATCAACATCAAGGCTTGAGCCATTATCAAATTTATCATTATAATCATCATTACAACATTTTATCACCATCTTAAATTAAATGTGGATTATCATAGTGATCACTATGTGTATTGATAATGACCACCATCACAACCACCTTTAATTAACAATGAATCAAGAACTTATTCCACAAACACCTAACACTGTTGAAATGAAAATTGTAAAGCAAAAAGTGAATAACATTCTGTACACACTTCTTAACAAATGTATAACGTGCGAGGCTGTGTTTGCTGTATAATATTGTATAATTGTATTTCTAACATAATTGAACCTCTGCGCCATTGTAATCGATCCTCTGACTCTTAAAGCACGATCATTTGAAATTAGAAAACGGAGCTAATAACTTAACATCGTCGTAACTTGCCTACAAGCAGAGCTTACAGTGCTCCAAGTTGTAAAGATACTTTTGAAAAAAAGGTAAACAACATGCTAGCAAGCACAAGAGAATTAGCCGCCAACCAAAATGAGAAACCACAATTTACAGAGGCTCTTAATGACCGTATTATTAAACCGTTGACATTTGAAAACAACATGCAAACTGCCACAATCGGGAGAAGACATGAGGACATTCTACCAACGCAATGTTCCTTTTTAACCATGACTGTCCTCTTACGTAAATTAGACTCATTTTCTATACCATTTAGCCAACGATTGCATAAGTGCTGCTTACCGGATGAGAAACTTGAGTCGGAAACAGATATCTTTGCGAAAGAAAAAAAATATTTAGGGCAGACATTAGCAAGATACTTTAGAATGCATTTAGTTAGATTTTCTTTTTGACATAAATGGTTATTTAGGAGCTGAAAATATATAGTCTCTCCATCACTCAAAATGGTAAGTAGAAAAACATGAAGGAAACAATTTGAGAGAATTTATGAATGCAGTACAAGTATACTATAATATTATTGATAGTTATTTTTTAAATGATAAATATTGTATGCTATATACATTTATATTGTTACAATTACAGTATATAAATTGATGAAAATAACACAATATTTATCTTACTGATATTATTTTATTATATATATTTTTCCATAATTTATTTACTTTTTAAATTTTATTTTATGTATTTTGTATTTATTTATATATTTTTTATTGACTATAAATAACAAATGAAATTCTATTAGTATCACCATTGCTCAGGGCCCTCTCAGGGTCCTCATGCCTATGACAAATCTACGTTGAGGCACAGTCCTTGGAATAGATGATGAAAACAAAATACTGTACGCACTAGATACAATTTCAATATTTACATTGTAGCAGATGATAGGATAGAATCATCTTCTGGAAGGCTGGAGGTATGGTATCTGTAGAGGGCCAATAATCACTGTAATGGATACAATTGAACAAAAACAGTTAATTGAATAAAAAACTGTCACCATCTTTATCATTTGAACTTTGTGTGTTTCTAAATCTTTTATCTTTCAGGGAAACTGACAAAAAATAATTGTTTTTGAGTCACTACCCATGCATGAAGACTTTCCTGAATAACAATTAATCATTGGATCTCGTCCACTAGCTCCAGTCTAAGCACCTAAATCAGTATTTTTCTTTACAAGAGCTTCGTGACCAATTTGAGATGAGGTTCCAGTTGGGAATGGATGATCTCAATCATCATCACTACTTCCTTTTGCTACATGATCAAGACTAACAAGGTCAGGGGTCATAATCTTAATACATGTATGCGGATTATGGGGAAATCATAAATCTGAATATTCGATGGCAGGTGTTTCAACATTATGTTTAATTGCAAAACACTCAACAGTGTTCAATTAGTTACAAGGGAGCCTGATTAGGTTCTAATGGTGCAGTTTAGGTTTCCAATACCATTAATTACACCACAGAGAGCACAAAACAAGCCAATTTAATCAACTCAGAAATGATTTAAGGCAACAAAATCAGTTGTTCCTGTAATGTAAACTTATATATTTAAACAGAATATTATTATTATTTTTCATATTAATTTTCTATAAATCTATGAAGTAAAACTCAGGAAATGCATCTGATGAAGTAGGCTTGATGATTATGAACTGACACTATTTTTTAAAGTGTCATCTACTGTAGTAACATGAAGTTTATACTTTTTGCTTTAAGGCAGTCTATAGAGTTGTCTATTTATAGATGATGAAGCACTGATGGAGATGTATAGAAAGCATCTTTTCGCAGATCACTTCAAATGCTACAAGAAGAAGGCGTATCACACAAATCGCTGTCATTTGCGATGTATCAGAGACTGGTGCTGTCCAACTATCCACGTGCAAAAGTGTGAAATGTAGATGGATAAGTATATTTGGATTTTAAACAAAGCCTCAATGGCCCAGTTGGTTAAGACACCTGCATTGACAACAGAAGGTTCCGGAAGCAGGTTTTATTCTGCCTTGGACATTTGCATCTGCACATCTCACCCCAGTATTTTTCATCTGAACATCTCCCTCTGTGACATTTTTCCCCTGGAATTTTCTCCCCCGGGTTTTTTCCCCTTTCACATACCTTAAATAAACAAGAATATTCATCACATATACTCTTATATTTAAATATTAGGCTATATATTCATTCTAGAAACCCTAAACTCATGGATTGCATCATATGGATCATATATATTTTTACTTGAAATGTCATTGATGACATCAAGCCATAAAGTAGGTTTACAAATTGCATAAACCATGTCACGTAAATTATTGTTTTATTAAGCACAGTTTATATAAGTAATCTAACTCTATGAGGCCTCATGACAGGTCATCGTCTGTCCATCATTAGCTGTACTGACTTACAAGTATGAAAAACTTTTTACACAGGAGTGAACCGGGGCCCTGTGTGTGTACAGGTAAAGATGACTTCAAAACCACTACCATACTACACACCATCTTGGAACCAATGGCAGCTATACAATATATAAAAATCCTGTATGTAATGCTTTTAAGTCGTCCTAAAAGAAGATGATCTCATCATCGGTTCTGCCTGTCATTTCAGTCCCTGAAAAACCCTAAAGTCCCTAGCGGCACTTACAGAAAGAGAGCTCCAAGACAGTATATGATAACGTTTTTTATGAAAAATCGGAGTGTACACTAAATTTAATCAGTTTTCAGATAACATTTTTTATTAAAAATCGGAGTGTACACTAAATTTAATCAGTTTTCAGAACTTAAATTAGCAGACATATATAAAAACATACTACTGTTTGCAGATTTGCAGACATTTTACAATGAAAATTCTGAAATTGATGAATACAGTTTCTGCAATTTGAAGAATATAAAAAATGTATATGAATGGTACATAATCCTTAAGCTTTGTAACACTGGAGAAAGTTAATATAACTTATGCCAAGTAAGTTTTCAACCATGGCTGTGGTCTTTATCAGTGTTGTAAAGTTATATATTATATTTAATTTATTACAACAACAAAAAATTATCTTGCATTGAGGAATCTTCAAGTTATAAGAATGGCATTGGTATCTTGCTGATTAAAGATAAAAACATTATCTAATTTTCAGGTACTTAATTATTTGTAGAGCTGTGTACCTTGGGGATTAAGATGCACATGGGAGGAGGCTGTGTGGGGAGGGGAGGAGGCTGTGTGGGGGAGGGGAAGATGCCTCATGGCAGCAAATTGGTTAATGTACTAAAAAATGACTATTAAGTTTTCATTGGAATTGGGAATTAGTTCTAAATTCTGGGATTAGTTCAGCATTCTAATTTTTCACAACACTCCACCCCCCCCCCCCCCCCACCCCCCCCAGGCCAAAAAAAGCCTATATGCACCTGATGCTTGCCTTTTAATTCTAGGGTCCTAGGTTCTTATCAAAAAACAATTCTCCTTCCCCCTCCTCAAGATTAAAAGAAAAGCTCCATAATCCTTAAATGAGGTTTAGCCTACTGAATATGGATCATGTAAACAAATACTACAGGTAATAGTCTGCTACTAAAAAGGTACCAGTTTGAATAAGAAACAATAATTTAAAAAAAAGTAAAATTTATTCAAACACTGTCTTTCCACATACGCAATTTTAATCACGTCCCTTTGAATGAGATTTGCAGTTGTAACAAACTACCCTTCAACATTACATACAAACATTAATTTTATGGGCTCAAATGTCACTCCTGAACTGAAATAATAGCTAAGTATACGCAATCAATATTCTCGGGTTTCATACATTTTTCTTTAAAAAACATCAATATCGCGAGCTATCAAAATTATTGAACCAACTCATACCCAAATCTACAATGAAATTCAATCACTCTTCTGTCTATAAACTTTATCTCAAGACGACAGAAATTCATGTTGTCTTGATTTGCAATGCGTGACGCTTCTCCCGATTTCAGATCATGTACACGAGCACACACACACACACACAAAATTAATTTGATTGCTGTGATGAAATATAGGTCACTTTCACATATGTACTAGGGACCTGAGGAGTACATAAAACCTAGAAGAATTGGGGCCGAAGAACAATCACATAAAAACCGAATAGAACAATGATGAATAAATCAAAAGCAAACGCTACCTGCATAATAACATTTAAAAAAGAAAAAAAAATCATTTTACTTACAGGCAACTTCCAATGTTGCGTTTTGGCTGAACTGGCTGCCTAGGTAATTAGTAGCCTCGCACCAGTAGACCCCTGTGTCCTGTTGACTGCGACTCTGAGCCACGCGCAGGAAGAACAGCGCCCCCGAGTCCAGCATTGTATAATGGATACTTGGACGAAGCGGTCTGCCATCTTTATACCACTACAGGACAGAATTAAATTTGGAAAATTGGAGCATAATTGATTAAAAGTGATCATAAATGTGGAATCAATTTGATAATGTCATCCATGAAGTTTCCAATAGTCACATAATCAGCTAATAATAATGTCTAGCAGATTATCCTTCTTTGTGAACCATTGTAAAGACATTGCATATTTGGAAAAAAATTTCATCTAGTCTTTAGTTGACATTACATATTATTAAGTAATTGAAAACATTCATAAATGTTGCATTAACAATAATATTCTATAGTATTAATTTCAATTATTTTATTAAAGTATTTGTAACTTTAAATGCTCGTCATTCCTACTGATATTATTTGAGTCTTCCCATCCCAAAACCAGCATAATCTCACTAAATTCTGAGTAATTCATTTTGTGTCAGTAATACTTTTACTTAACTTTGGAAACAGTAAGTTAATTCCAAAAGTGACCTATCATTATAATGTGGAGAATATGAACATCAAAGTCAATTTTCTTGTTTTGATCACTGGTTTTGGCATGGCAAGCCCAATATATATTATAACATTATGTTAGTGTCCCAAATAATTAACTAAAATGCTAGAAGAATGATAAATAAATAAATAAGTGAATTAATTAATAAAAAGTATGCATGCATGAAATAAGTGAATGAATAATTGAATGAATATTAAATGAATGAATGAATCAATCAATCAATCAATAATGAATTGAGTAGTGAACCACTGGACAGTATTTTAGTATACTTTTCGGTAATTCTGCCTTGTCGATTTTCAAACCTGAATTTTTTGTGTGTGTATATTATCAAGACAAAAAAAATTAGTGAAATAAACTAACAAAAAAATACATGAACAAATGAATGAATGAATAAATGAATGAATGAATAAAAGAATGAACAGATAAGTGAATGATAAAAGAACAAAAGAATTAATGAAATATAAACAAACAAATGAATTAACAGAACTGTTGAGCAACAACTTAAAAAATAAAACAATAACAGAGACATACTATAATTAACACTTTAATTTAAATATATAAATAGTTTTTAAAACAAAATTATACAATTTAAATGAAATAAATACACTATACCGTAACAATCTACATAGAGCAATTAGAATAGGCCTACTATTTTTGAAAGGCATGTAAAAATCTTTTATGTCTTCTGGCGACATTGCATAGCAATATACATTATTTTTTTTGTGTTCATACAAAGCCACTTCAGCTTATCGTAACAAGAGCATTAAAGCATTGCTCTAAATTCCAACTTCAAACAACCAACTGTAAGATTTATGGCGTTACACTACAGAGTGCTAACAGTAAACTTTACATGTATCTAGGTCTTATAGTACCTATAATGGCCTCTTCAAAAGGAAAGATAAAGCAAATGCAATGGTATAGCAAATTCATTTCTATACTCTCTTTAAAGCCAAATGCAGTGCTATAAAATAAAAGAGAAAGAAAAGGGAAACGAAGCATGCCGTAAAAATTTCAATGTTTGATCGGCGACGACAATTTGGCAAATATTCATATTAATAATAATGTTATCGCCATCATGGATGTAAAGCGTAGATTTGGAAACGTTAAAACGAGAACATTTACAGCTGAAAGCTTTCAAATGCAGAATGAAATAAGCCGATGAATTCATTGTGAATTATCAATTATTACAAACGTAAAGTTTGCTTGAGAAGGCAGATTTCAACCAGTAAACACTTTCTCAGCCGAATTAAAAATATTTTTAGATCATTCAATTTTAGAGCCACACAGTCTGCTATTGCTATGAAGCTATTCACAGACTTTCAGATATCGACCGGTGCTCGAGTCTGACAAATGTTGACAATATGAAGTAATTTCTTATGAACAAGGAAGTACCACAATGACGATAAATCCGTTATTGACAAAATAAGACAGACGTTCATTAATTCACCAGATTTTCTGGAACACTGAATTCCATGACTAGAATAGAATGCCAAATATTATTTCAGTGTTGGAACATGTGATTATTTTTTTAAATGATTCAATTTCTAATAACAGTAAACAAATCAATATAACAACAGACTTCTTAAACATTGAATTTAATAGCTTTGAATCCCTGCATAATTTTATACAGACTGCTGGAAAAATTGCACTTTGACAAGAAGCAAGATACAGCCATCAGGACAAGACAAATACCATATTTATGGCCTAGACTTTATTTTGTAATTTTTATGTTTTTTAATAAACAGAATCAGTCACCAAATATTACGTCATCAAAATTTGGCAGATTGGGTATTAAAAGTTGTTTACATCGTAAATGTCTATGCTGATGCATTACACGGAGTCGAAAGTGGTGTTTATTAATTCGTCTAAAATGTAATGAAGTTAGCGTAGAAGATACTTTTTATAAGAATGTATACATTGTGAATGACTCATAGATTCATGAGATTAAGGTTGAATTGATTTAAATTTCCATTTTGACTAAAAATAGGAAGAATTTCAAGAAGCCTTCTAGGGGGCCTAGGCCCGTCGCTCGCGGGACTCACTGCATCCAGCTGACCAAGGTGATCGCTGTTGATTTGGAGGTACATACAGTATTCAGCTTAAATACTGTCACCAAGTCACTTTGTTGCAATTTCTGTATGAAATATTTTAACTACTGGACAAACTTAAATTGCTGAACTGAAGAATAAGATGTTTCTTTTGTCTACAATGGCCAATCAGTCAGAAGACCGTTGTTTGTATGACTGTAATCTGGGGCTAGGCCCATGTTCATGCAACGAGGCTATGCCAAAAATGTTTTCCATTGATTTTTTCACTCCATATAAAATTTAACCGGTCAATACCGTGACAATTATTAAAGAAATATTTACCAAAACTTTTTGATAACTTATTTTACAATAAAATGTACAAATAAATAGGTTTGAGGAGTCTAAAAACTGTCAAAATTTACTCGAGCGGAGGCTTAATAGATAGTTATAATACATACTATAATACATATTCCTGACATTCCATGACATAATTAATGTCAAAATATTGCATCTGACACGATGTATTATACTATCTTATCCGAGAATAATCAGTGGACCTTTCGGAGGCTTATATTGTGTGAAAAAACTGCCACCTATTCAGTAATGGCTTTGGTTTATTGACTAATTCAGTCTATAGGAACTAACAAAAAAAATCCAAGAAATTACTAAAGAATAGAGTCAAAAAATATAAATTTCAAAAACTTTCTAAAAAAAAATTAAAAAAAAAACTTAAACTTAAAAAACAATGTTAAGGATGACCACTAAACAGGGAATGACAGAATTTAGGAGATGGAATTAAACAGGAAAAAAATAATATATAATTTGTAGACTTTATTTAAAAAAAACAAAAACGAGGATCGTAAAATGATGGGGATATGGTACTTTCTATAACTTTATACTATTTAAGATAAATATAACAATATAAAATAAAGTAAGTTAGTGTTATAACTTTAAAAAGAATACTTTTTTGCAAATAGCTTTCCTATAAATACTTTACTAGGCAAGTCATCATATTTCAGTAAGTTAGGGAGTCTCTTGAATATACATTAATCATTGTCAGTGAGATATTAGCCACCATCCAACTCTTAACGATGATGTTTGCTTTGGTCATGTTTGTTATGATCGCCGCAAGTTGTGTGGCATCGCGGGTTGAATCAATACAATAAACACGAATACCTTTAATTTGTGGAGATACGGTTTTAAACATATGGACCGTCGTCATGGGATTCGAAGTTAATGTGCAAATGATGGGAACATTGGCTTGTAAAAAGCCAAAATGAATTCTGGAATGGGAGAGAGAGTGTGTGTACTTAAAACAGTGCAATAATTGGTTGTGACCTGTCGATGTTAAACTTGACCTCTGAAGTACTTATTTACAGAGTTTTATTGGATAGTCAACTAAACACCTAAAGTTTATCTCACCACAAAACACACCCCCTGCTGATTTTATACACCACATTTCCGATCATCTTACTGTCCCACTGGGGTCAGCAATTTTATCTTTATTTATGGAAGCATTCTTTGATGAGGATGCTTTAAGAATTATCATAAAGAATTTGATCCACTGGTGAGAATCTTCCTGGAGAGAGAGATTGTTGGTAGATCACAATCAGGGATATAGGCCATGTGAAACAGAAGGAAGGAATGTCAGAGTTGGGAGGAATTATGGTGGGCAGGAATTATGGTGGGGGTATATTAAGCTCCATAAACAGGGCCACAAAGAGCTTCCGTTGGCCCTAGAATGCACAGCTGCTGAACCCCACAATAAAGTCTGTGCCTGTATTTTTAGTATTGTGTTTTTTCAATACTCCTGTAAAAAACATTATATTTTTTAATGCACTATATATTATTATATAATTTTATATTAGCTCAACTCAGTTACAGTAATCTTTGAAAGAAACAAGGGTAGTTTCAAAAATGTGTACTTCAGCTTGCTAAATATAGACATGCTAAGAAGAAGCATGCTAAATCAATTATATAAATTATTAGATTATGACAATTACAGTAAAATGCTTTTATTGATGTATATTGTTTAGACATTTTTCTCAGAACTACTTGAAAAAGCTCACAATGATTTAACATGCATTTTTACACTAATTTTCATACGCAAATCTTCGCCTTTATTCTCATACCCCATATATATTTTTTAATATCGCCAATTAGCGTGGCATTTTTGTCGGCAACAGAAAGCATGTTGATTTATCGAACGGCTTTAAAAGCAAAAAAAGTTGATGCACAGTAAATAAAACTGACAGTCATGTATGCTGTAATAACCTTGAGCCTGTATTTCTTAAAGCTTACATGAATCTTACGCTGAGCAACAATGTCATTTTTTTTTTCAAATTGATTCCTTTGATGAATAAATAACCATTAATGAGCTTCAGATTAATGCGTTGTGCAAATGTTTACTCAGACGTCTTGATGAGACTTACCCGATAAGACGGTGACGGGTTGCCGTCCGCTCTACATCTTAATGTGTGCGGCTTGTTACGGATAACAATGGCCGAAAGTGGGTGCTCAATAATCTCGGGGGCAAATTCTTGCGACACAACACCTGAAAATTAAGCCGAGATAATGTCAAAATCAAATCACCTGCTCGCGTGTAGTAATCAGTAGAGTGCTCGTCATTGTCGATGAGCTCATACGATATCAAGCAAACAAAATTTAAGTTCATTAAAACGTCTAAAGATTTTCAACGGTATGAATTGTTAACCTTGTTATATTATTGACACAATAGTCATCAGAATTTCAGTCGTCGTGAGACATGACATACGTTTTATTGTGCGGTCCTTTGAGAGTACAAGTAAACCTATATTTACCATGACGGCTTCTAATTATAGGTTCATATGAGGGCACAACATGCAAGAGAGAATTGAAATGAAATCACAGACTTACAATTGTGGACACTTTGATTGGTAATATGATTATATTGCATATATATCAGTAACCAAGATTGTAATCAGATAACAGATAAAAACGGTTGAAAATTATACCGACACAATTTTATTTACTTTTATTTCTTTTGGCTTTAAGGTAAAAATTTACTGTTGTACATATGCCTACTGTGTTATCTAAAAAACTTAAATTTAATAAATAACTTGAAAAATATAATAATTATTAAGTATTAAAACTTAATTAAGAATGGTCTTGCACATTCCATACATCCCATAATAGTACCTTACCATCTCATCATACATACTGTATTCTCTCCCTACATCCCCATTTTCACATCATTTCCCAATATTCATATCTCTTTTCCGACCACCCTTTTCCGACCACATATTACATTTTTATGTTCTATGGTTGAAAGTGCCTTAATATTTTTTCTGTACTGTACAGGGTCAGATTTGGAAGGTGTAAAAAAAAAAAAAAAAGAAAGAAAAAGAAAAAATTGATCGCCCGAAACGCCTCAGAGGTTATTTTCAGGCATCTAGAACACAAATTTCGCGGGGGAATGCCCCTGAACCCCCTAGGGTAGTATTATCTTAATCGGCCCCATTTTCGGCCCCCACTTTTGGACACCTGTGGATCCGCCCCTGCTGTAGGATTATTTCCTTACCATACACCTACCCACATATAATACCTCCCACATATAATCCTCCTCCACATTGGCCTACTGTATATCCCTTCCCCTTTGCCACATAATACCTTTCCATTTCCCTCCCCCATACATCCCTTCCCTTACCCAACTTTTTAGCCATTTATACCACTTCTTTCCAAATAAACACAATAAGGTACAACAGCCACGTTATATTGCTCATTGTTTGTTACATTGTGCAATAACAAACCACAATGTAACAAACATGTTTATTGTTTTTAGCATTGTGCTCGCATTTTTTATACAGTACTGGAAGGCATTTGTGTATTATTATTTCCACATCCTTTTGCCAAAATACTGCAGTATTACATTATGATCAAATATTAATATTGTGTGATTCCTAACATAAAATTTGATTTGAATTTATGTGGTATAACAGAAAATCCAAGTTTATAAAAAAATGTTTTTATATTAGTAGTAAATATATACCATAGTCTTTATGCACGTACATAAACATTTATGTAGGATTTTAGATTTTTTTTTGTTTGAAAAGCCAAGCTTGATTTCAAATGAAAATTGTTTGGTTTATCGTTGCCAAACAAAACATGATACATAAAATACAAAAATAATGTGCAAGGCTTCTCCCATGAGTCCAAACCCGAGATAGAACAAAGGCTTAAACCAAGGAACGTTTTAAGAGACAATGAAGATGGGAAGAAAGACAATTTTGAGGTGATGAGATCAGGCACCATAAACCTTGTGTTCAAAAATAGTTATCAATCATTATTTAACTACATAGCACCATAAACAACCATTTGTAGAAATAACAAACATAGCTTTTCATCCATGGCCTTTCTGTAATGGCCCTTCTCAGCCCAACCTATACAGAGGAGAAGCGTTTTGATTTAAATAAATGGTACAATAAATCCGCATCAAATACATCATCAGGTTAATAATAATAATAATAATAATAATAATATTTATTTGGCAAAAAGCATATAGGAGAAAAACATCATGCATTGCCCGGATAGGGAATGGGCGAAAGCCCGAACAATATTTGCTCCCTATCCTTCATATAAAATGAAATACACAAAAACAATCAGAACTAATCAGAAACATAAAATGAAATAAAATGCTTAATTAAATTATTCTTAAAACAGGAAACATTAACAGAGTTTTGAAGTAGAGGAGGTAGTTCTTCCCAGAGCCATGGGAAAGGACACGAAAGCAGAATTAAGAAAAATATTGCTTTTGGCTTTCCAGTGAATATGCCTACCCTCACAACGCTCACTCTTATGAACAAACTCTGTTAATGTTGGGGGACACACATTATGAAGAACTTTGAAACCAAGAACAAGCCGGTGATATTTAAAAATATCTTCTATGCTTAATATGTTAAGCGTTTTCAGCCTATCTTCATAATGTGTGTCCCAGTCACCATCTTTTTTAAACATAATTATTCTGGTGGCTCTTTGTTGGATGCTTTCAATTCTATTAATATTGGTTTTGTCACCTGGTGCCCACATTGCACAACAATAAGTTCATCAGATTTTAATATAGGGAAGTTTCAACAACTTGTGATGCAAACAGGAACATCCATAGCTCTAAGCTTACTGTACTAGCAAACAAAAAAAAATCTAATGAAAGAAAGTTCAGATTATTTGACAGACTGAACTATAACTCAAGGATACTACCACCTAATTTATTATCATGTAACTAATTCCCTTGTGGTGACAAATAAAATACACATGACAAAAAAGATATAAAAGATATTAAAAAAGATATAAAAAAAACTTTTTCCCATGTGTATTACCCATAATCATCTGTACTTTTGTAGTGGAAATAAATTTTGAAAACAAGCCTGTTTTTGAATACATTATTATCGAATAGAGCTACATTTAAAGAGAAAATCATAATATAAAAGACAAAATGAGTTTAATATCCAGCTTTATATCCAGCAATATACACAGAAACACATTAACAAATAGTTTACTAATGCAAGTTTAATGATGTCTAAATTGTAGAATTGCGAACGCTACTCGGTGTAAAATAATGTAACATGCAAGCTTTGCAATTGTGGATAATTGGCTGATAATGCTCAATGGCAGGAGGAAACAACGCAGTCTAATGCTCGCCGATCTGACACCTTCCTCCAGTGACATCTGCCAATGGTAAAACATGTGGTGAAATATGTAGGCCTATACTGCATGTCTTAGAGAAGCTTGTGCCAGCCACCAAATGAGGCAATGGACTGCTATACCAAAGAACAAAAAAAAAAAAACAAAAAAAAAAACACTGGAAGGATGAATAACATGTATGGTATCTTATTGCTCATACAGAATATAAAATATGCAATGATGCCTTTGTCAAAAAAGACCCAAACTTTGGAAGTTCTCTCAATACGGAAGAGAAACATTCAAAATTAAAATCTAATTAGGAAACCTCAAACATGTCACCCACAATGTATGGAAAGATAAATTGAAAAATAGCTTGGTGGTTTATAAGTAAAGGGACTGCCTTAAAATCTTGAGAGTACTGGGTTCAAATCTGACAGCTGATTACACAAATGTATTTACACTTTACTGTACTATTCTAATCCCCTTAATAAGATTCAGGTCTAAAGTAACAATACCGTAATCATAATAATTCCATATTTCTATAGCGCATTCTGCAAAAAGCCTCAATGCGCTTTACAAAAAAAAAAAAAAAAAAGCAGTTAGTAAATTTTGACTAAAGTACTGACAAAGATTATTTCTTCTTATGATGAAAAAAATTTACTAAAAAAATCAATTTGAAAATGTCTCCAGACAACTGAATAAGTTCAAAATGAATAATATATTATGATTATATATATTTTGGTCCATTATGGTTAGCATTGGGTAATATTGTAGAGTAAGGTGGGAGGATGTGCTACAGAAGAAAAAATGAAAGGATGAATCAGGAATAAATAATGTTTGAGTGTTTGGTTTATTTGGGTCAGCAGTCTATCAAATTCGTCTATAAGTAACTGTACAGGATTTTTTTATTGTGTTGGATGATAAAACTTATCCATACATTCTGAATTGGTTAGATTCCGGTGCGCGGTGTTGGCATAAACCACTATCTTCTCTCTTTCTACCAGCAGGAACTAGGTAGACTTGACAAAGCAATTATACAAGATATTTTGCATCTATGATTCAGTAAGCAGTAATTAGTATCATCTATTTTATTTTTGTATTGGACATTTTAATAATCTGTATTAAATCTTTTTAAAGATAAAGATGGGCATTGTAATTTTCTTTTCTTATAGGGAGAATAAAGATTACCTTGACCTTGAACTCCTTGAACTGTTGTAATGCATTTCACATTAAAAATAAAAGAGACACAATAAAAGAATAACAGATGTAAAATGTTGAGGAAGGGAGAGGTAGTGTTAAAATCTTTTAAAAAGTAATTTTCAATATGTTGACATTTGCCCAATTGTTTTATGTGTTATGCAATGGATGTAAGTTTATGCTCATTAAAAATTGATATTGTTTGCTTTGCCTTGTAGTGTTATTCGCTTAAACCCTGTAAATACTATCACATTTTAATTGACATAAACATGTGACATGCCAAATATGGTTATGATGACATCACATAAGGACCATATATAGGCACATCATGACTACTGTATATATGGGCATACAACAGTTTCTTGTCATACAAACTTTCATAGTGGACAGAGCTTTCCTATATGGACTACAGTCTTCGGAAAAAGAAAGCTGAATATTATTTTTTAACTGCAGGAAACATACAATTATATAGACATGATGATAAATAATGCAGAAGAAAAAAAACAAAGAGAAGATGACTAAGAAATCTTACAAAAAACAGCTTGCTGTAGTTCTTGGAATGCTCCAAGATCGGCAGGAGACAAAAGAAACGTTCAGGGTACCGCTGGAGATGAAATGCCGAGATGATGAATACATAAACAGTACTAAGAACTGGCCCCGCAGATACTTCAATACAGACAATGGTGGTTTCGTTCTAGACAACACTTACACCCTTTAATTATCAACAACTACTCCACACATATTTCAAAGTGATTTTACAGCATAAATAATTTGCAAAACAACCCCATAAAGGTAAACCAAGTAGTCCCTCCTTTGGTACTTGTGCCTTAATAGTTTAACAAATGAAATAAAATAAATGCATGCAGGTATGCTTAATGAAAACTTTTAATTTAAAATGGCCATTTAAGAAGATTGGACCAGATACACACATTCGTTTTGTTGAAAATGTTTATATAATTTAATTATCTGCACTATTTAAGGATTTTTTACAATGTAATTTTGCAGAAATAAAGACATTAAAA